GAGGATTTTGTCCAGGTGCAGTGGCTTATGTCTGTAATCCCACATTTTGGGAGGCCAAGGTGGGTAGATCACTTGAGGCCAGGAGTTCAAGACCAGCCTGGGCAACATGATGAAACTCCATTTCTACCTGGTCTCTACCCTGTCTCTACTAAAAACACAAAAATTATCTGGGCATGGTGGCACATGCCTATAATCACAGCTACTCGTGAGGCTGAGGCATGAGAATTACTTGACTCTGGGAGGCAAAGGTTGCAGTGAGCCAAGATCACTCCACTGTACTCCAGCCTGGGCAACAGAGCAAGATTCTGTCTCAAAAAAAAAAGATGTATGAGGTTTAAGTAAAACTACATGGTGCAGCTTGCTCAAAAATGGCACAGACAAAATACCATGTTCTGACATATATGGAAGCTAATAAAGTTGATCTCATAGAAGTAGAGAGTAGAATAGTGATTATTAGGGACTGGAAAGGGGAGGGCAGGGGGAATAACCAGAGGTTGGTTAATGGATACAAAATTACAGCTAAATTGGAGGAATAAATTCTGGTATTCCATAGCACTATAGGGTGACTGTAATTGACAATTTATTGTATATTTTCAAATAGCTAGGAAAGTGGATTTTCAGTGTCCCCAACACAAAAAAATGATAAGTATTTGAGGTGATAGGTATACTAATTACCCTAAATTGGTCAGTATACATTGTATTTATGTATCAAAATATCATACTGTACCCCATAAATATGCACAATTGTGTTTGAAAAATAAAAGCAGGACATCAGGCACAGCACCTCATGCCTAGGCCGAGGCGGGTGGATCACCTAAGGTCAGGAGTTCAAGACCAGCCTGGACAACATGATGAAACCCTTCCTCTACTAAAAATACAAAAAATTAGCCGAGCATGGTGGTAGGCACCTGTAATCCCAGCTACTCGGGAGGCTGAAGCAGGAGAATCACTTGAACCCGGGAGGTGGGGGTTACAGTGAGCCAAGATCACACCATTGCACTCCAGCCTGGGCAACAAGAGTGAAACTTCGTCTCTAAAAATGAATGAATGAATGAATGAATGAATGAAAAGCAAAAAATGTTACAAATGCATATGTGTATCATATGTAATGCAGTCTTAGGTAAATGTAAGTCACAATTCTGTAAATCAAATTATATCTTGGATAAACTCAGGGAGCTTACTCTGAAAAGAAAATCTTCTTTGAATCCCTTTGTAAGGTTAATTCTGCTTCAATACCAGTACCTTAGAAAAATTTCACAGTTACTGAATAGCTACCATACTGAAATCTCGCTGTCTGCCTTGAGTGCCTGCGAGTGCCCCATGATGCCGGGAAGTCTGAAAGAAAGCAGAAGGTGGAAGATGAGGTGTAATTTGCCATGTAGACACAGGAGATACAAGCATTCCATGCAGAGGGCTCAGCACAGGTGCTAACGAAGGACTTGCTATGAGGCCAGGCACAGTGGCTCACGTTAATCCCACCACTTTGAGAGGCTGAGGTGGAAGGCTCACTTGAGCCCAGGAGTTTGAGACCAACCTGGGCAATGTAGTGAGATCTGATTTCTATTTAAAAAAATAAAAAAGACTTGGTGTTTTTCGTTATGCAGTATCCCAGGACAGTCCGTGATGTGCAAGAAGAAATCTCTTTGCTTTCCACCATTAAAGGAAGCAGAGTTCGAATTTAAGAGTGTGCATTCAAGCCAGACCGCCTGGGTTTAATCCTGCATCCACCACTCCCTAGATATTTATGTCATGGGCAAGTGGTTTAACAACTCAGTACTTCATTTTCTTATATGCAAAATGAAGTTAATAATAGTGGCCGGGCACGGTGGCTCATGCCTGTAATTCCAGCACTTTGGGTGGCTGAGGCAGGTGATCACCTGACGTCAGGAGCTTGAGACCAGCCTGGCCAATGTAGTGAAACTCCATCTCTACTAAAAATACAAAAATTGACCAGGTGCCAGTGGCTCACGCCTGTAATCCCAGCACTTTGGGAGGTTGAGGCTGGCAGATCGCCTGAGGTCAGGAGTTCAAGACCAGCCTGGCCAACATGGTGAAACCCTGTCTCTACTAAAAATATGAAAATTAGCCAGGTGTGGTGGTGGACACTTGTAATCCCAGCTACTTGGGAGACTGAGACAGGAGAATCACTTGAACCCAGGAGGTGGAGGTTACATGGAGCTGACATTCATTGCACTCCAGCCTGGATGACGAGAAACTCCATCCCAAAAAAAAAAAAAAAAAAAATTAGCCAGGCGTGGTGGTGGGCATCTACAATCCCAGCTACTTGGCTGGCTGAAGCAGGAGAATCGGCTTGAACCTGGGAGGCGGAAGTTGCATTGAACCAAGATCGTGCCACTGCACTCTAGCCTGGGCAGTAAGAACAAAACTCCCTCTCAAATAATAATAATAATATGTAATTCACAAATTTGTTAGGGATAAAACACCCATAATGTGCTTAGAAAAATGCCTGGCACTTAGTTTGCAGTGAATAAATATTTAATAGCTTTTTTTTTTTTTGGTCAGGATAACCATTATCATGATTTCAAATTCAGCAGAAAATAGTTTAGTGTGTACTTGTAATCTTTTTCTGTTGAGCTGTAATAACTTAGGGGTTTGTTTAGGACAGAATGTGACAAGAGGAAATATATTCAGGAACATGTTTACACAGCCTGCATTTAAGATGATGTTAACACGTTATTATTTTAGTATACAAAAGTTTAAAAATTAAAAGTAAAACAGTGGCGACTCTATCAGATGGACACAGCCGTACTCACTGGGAAAGACCACTACTATAGTGAGTTAATCATCCAGTCATTCTGTCTCCTGCTCTGATAACAAAGGATTTAGCTGTATTTCCTGACAAGGCATTGCAAGATTCCAGACTGGCACTGCGGCCCTGCATTCCAAAATGAGTTCAGAAACCAGGATGGGGAGGCAGAAATGGGAGTGTGAAAGAGCAGATACCAAAGAAAAGATTGCCACGCCTCCATATTACTTTGCAAGTGCTGGGCCGTGCCTGCCGGTGGGGCTTGTGGGATCACACGCTGGAAAGTCTGCAGACTTGTTGGAATTTAGAGTGTGTGTGTGTATGCGACTAGCCTAAATATGGAATGACCACTAACTTTATTGAGCTCCTGCTAGTGCCAGCCACTATTCTGAATGCTCCATATGCAGTGTCACATCACCATCAAGGCATGGGTCCGTTATCCCCATTTTACAGATGAGAAAATCAAGACAGAGCACAGTTTAATGATGTCTTCCAGGTCACCAAGTTCTAAGTGTGGATTTTGGGAATGGTTGCAGTCAGTCGGTCGCCGAGTCTAGGCTCAGCCACTGTAGCTACGCTTGTGGGGGTGGCTGTGCATTCTGTTTGCCAGGCAGCATCTGGATGATACTTTTGTGCCAGAGTAAATATAAATAGTGCCCCCTTAATTTTGGATGTGAATTTTTGTAGTGGACCTTACTGGATTACCCCAACACTTGGTGATTACATACTTTAGATCATTTAGTAACTGGTTCTTTTTTTATAATGACTTGTTGAATTGAATGTAGTTTTCTCAACATCTTACTCTCTTTTCTTCTCTCTCTCTGTCTTTTTTTTTTTTTTT